TGTGTGTGTGTGTGTGTGTGTGTGTGTGTGTGTTTGTGAGAGACAGAGATCCAAAAATAGAGAATGACATCTTGCATGCAAACCACAGAATAGACGAGTGATTGACGCTCCTAAAATATCCAAATGAATTGAGGGATGAAAATGGAGGCGCAGCCACAAAAAAGAGACCAACCATTTCCTCCTCGCAGCCAATCAGACGTTAAATTTCACACAGGGCAAAGTCCTCCACAGACGCGTCTTCACTTCATCTTTACGTGGTTTTGTCTAATGTCTTTCGAGGTCAACCCCACGTGTGACAAACCCTGTGCGTAAATATGCGTTTTCTGCAACACGTCTGAAGAACTGCGCGTCCTCTCCGCTCCACACACCTATGCATTTGGTGCATCGCCTTTATCCATGTCAGTGATGCAACTCTGTGATGACAAGCCCCGAAACAGCCTGATCACAACACAAACCGAGATCACCCTATATACCGAGTTCCCCCCATGTGGGTCCACTAGAGAAAACAGTCCCCTCTCTCTCAATATATATCACACATGCATCCTCAAGGATATCACTCCCCTGCCCCCTTCCCGTTCCTATAATCAATATCCTGAGGGCTCCATGCTGATCAGCACGTACCTTTATCGATGTAAACAAATCCGATCAAGAGCGAAGGCAGACGCACGGTCGTCAGGTTTAATTGGAGAAATGATTCAAGAAAAAATGTCACATTTCGGAACAAGCCGTCTTTGCCTTTTCACTCCCCATCCACATGGAGCGGCGCTCGATCAGATGATTCCTCCTGCTCCGCGCTTCAAACCGGAGGGACCCGGTTACTCCGTTGTCCTCAATGGCGGGATCGGCATAAATCCCGGGTCTTGACGCGTCCAAACGTGGGGGGGAAGCACCGGAGTGTCAGGGTAGAAACGTGCCAGAGATTGTCACCCTCTAAACCCTTTGTTCAGCGGTGCGCATCTTTGACTTTCACTGCACCCAGCAAACGAGGGCGCAGAAGCCAAAGTGAATTCAACGCACGGTTCGCTGAAATGTCGCCGTGATGTGCAGAACAACACGGCGGACTCCTCTCCGCTGCTGGGCCGCGTGTGTCGCTGAGTGTCCGCGCTGACGATCACTGCTCCCCGCTGCACATCTCCCGACTGAGCGCATCAAAAGCTGCGCTCCGCATAACGTGCGTAATGGTAATCCCTCTCCACACACACACACAGGGAGGGAGAGAGAGAGGGGGAGAGAGAGAAAGAGAGAAAGTGACAGCTCTCCGTGGCCGCCACAGTGTCTGTCCTCCCTCCCTTTAACTCTTTTACTCTACAATAAATGAAATCAAGTGTGTAGGAGACACTTTATTAAGTCGTTTCTAGACACTTCTCTTACACTCGTGCAAAAACACACAAACACACACCGTCTTGATGTCACTTCCACGAAGTGTACGCACAGTTTGTATTCTCTAAATTCTGCCTAATTCCAGCTTGTGCGGTTGTGATTCTCACTCGGTCACTGCGCTAAATCATAGAAAATATACCAATGGTGTCAAGTTCATCTATTAAGATAACGTTTCCGGTGGTGTCTTTCAGAATAAAGTTGAAGTTCATCCCTCTCGCCAATATAATAAAAGAAGTCACATGTCTTCATTGTAGAAATATTTATAAAAATCAGTTTTTCTGTTGTGAAAAAAATGAAGGTGCACAGGCACAACATCGCGTGGCTACGTCCGCCAGCATTTCCACCTCCTATAGTTAACAGTGTAAGTCAACTTGTCGAATTTGAATGTCTGGGCTTGGACGGCACCAAACAAGCAGCATGGAGGCATGTTCTGTTTCATCTGTTGTTTTATTGTGTCTGAAGAAGAGGTCGCCTGTGCGCTGTTTACCCCTGAAACTCCAAAAGTGTTTTGTGGACTCAAACACTTCACCCACCCCTCCATTGGCATAGTGGTGAGTAGATCATGAGTGAACTATCCCTTTAATCCTCAAACAGTTCCTTAAAGTTGTGAGTGGGCCTCACATCTCTAAAAGTACACACACACCATAAACAATTCAAGGTTGAGTGTGTTGCTTGAAGATCCCTCAACATGTGGACAGAAGGCACAAAGTGATGATTTGCTTGATTTGCCACTGCCATGTTAATCTTTGCTTTTGTGGCGTATTTGTTTGTTATTTTCAGCTCTTAAATCTCTGCCTCTCTTCTTCTGAAAGGCTTGCATCATTGCGACTCTTATTCTGAAAGAAATGTGGCCTCTTTTCCGGGCCTACTCTGATTATGTCTGGGGGCTTGACTCAGCTACAAACTGCTGTGAAGCTTATTATTTCTCCCTCTGGTCACATGCTTGTCGCCTCAGCTGCTCCAGTCCATCTACCATGGAGGCTTTCAGGGAGCCCCCACTGCCCCGGCCACCTCCAACCCCCTCTCGGTGTCCCATTCTGCCTTAATCCTGGTGCACGATGTGAGCGAATGGAAGTGATTTGTGGCAATGTCACAGTTTAATACAGGCTCCCAGAACTGTTTTCCACTGCAGTCTCCATACTTGAGCATGTGTGGCAGCCATGACACCTCCTCTACAGTCAAGAGAGCTGCCATGTGTGTGTGCTACTGGTTTAAATATTATCACACAATAAATCTGGGAACCCCTCTCCTCCCTTCACTCACAGAGCTGGGTCCCATTTTAAAGGATTGTGAGTACTCCACTGATTTGGAGGCGTCAATCTACATTTTAACGTTTGTGTAAATGGCACCAAACCTTATCCTGCAGCAACATGAAGGAGACACATGGGAACCAACAACCAGCCACGCTCCCATTTTACACACCCACTTTCTGCATGGGACAGTCTTCTCATAGCCTCTTTCCCCCCTTTCACACGCACAAAACACATAAATACATGCAAAGTGAGATGACATGCAGGCTCTGGGCAGTAAGGAGGCGTTTCACACGGAGTGGCAGCTGAGGATGTGAGACTAATCTGACAGGTGCAGGCTGGGAGAGTGACAGCATGGGAAGAGGAGGAGGGGTCGCTGCTTGAGGCTGAGGAGATTAATGGGTCTCTCTCTGTTTATCAGCAGACAGGCTCGGAGTATATCATCAATAGCGATGCTTATACTCGTCAAATTTATATGACTATTTGAGAGGTTGTGCACAAGAAAGGGGAATCATTACTCTATTCCACACATAGTTAATCACTATAACTGGATTTGGAAGAACATGCCTCACTAAATCCCTCGTCAGGATAATCGTGCAATTAAGAGAATTTATTAGGCTGTTTCCTTTGTATTACTGCAGTTGAGTCTGGAGCCGGGAAGTTGAATTAGACACTTTGTGTTGTAGAAGCTCATTTGGAGAAGTGTGTGGAACTATTAGATCTGCAGAGACACATCACCGACTTAAAGGAATAGTGTGTCAGTGCGTGTTTTTTGATGAGAAGAATCATGCAAAACATCTTGTCAAGTTAGCTTAGCTTAGCATTAAGACTGGAAGGATCTAGCCGGGTTCTGTCCAAAGGCAATGGAATCCACCAACTAGCTTCTTTAAAGCTCAATAACTGATAATGAGACACATTACATTTAAGGAGACGTGTATTTTATGTACGTGGACTGAAACTATGAAATTCTCTGGACAATGACGTAAAATTTAGCTCAAATGTTATTCCATTTAAGAAAAATGTATAAAGGAAACAATAATGAAACAGTATGAACGTACTGAGTAATATGTTATGATAAATGATATTCATTATTGTATCACTGATTTGTGATGTAACTAAACTAAATCATACTCTGAGAATGAGAACAAGTATTTTCCACCATGTTGAATGATTCCTCTTATGTACACAAACACATATTTAACATATGTAATTGCCACCATCAGATGGACGCTCAGATCAAAGCGGCCAGTGGAGGACTTCAGTATTTATAGAGGATGACAAGGTAACTCCGGATCAGTACGATCATGTGGGGCTCAATCGCTGACTAATATAGCTTTACAGACAGGCGGTATGCTAACTTTAGCTCTGCCTGGTGAGTTATTGTACTGTATGAGGAGAGTACATGCTCTTAAAGTGTCATGTGTCTACAGGAACAAGACCGTCACAAACTCTGTCTGTCATGTTTCCTTTTTGTTTATGAACTATATGTGCTGTTCTGTCCTCTCCTCTGTCTCATCCTTCCTTCGTTACATGCGTCCTTGCTGCACAGAGGTTGCCTCACCTTGTCAGGACCCCGCTTGGCTCCACACAATGAACCACACAGTGACGGCAGGATGGCCGACAAACACAGCCACGTGCTGTTTCCAGAGACAAGGACAGGAATGAAAGCGTGTGACCTCACAGGATGCATTAACTATGACAGGATGCAGGTGCCCAAAATTAGCAGGAAGAGAGTCTAATTTTAAAGAGTTTTTTTTATTTTCCAGTCGCACATCCCATCTCAAAACAGGCTGCAGGGGGATGAACCGTGTGATAGTCGTGTTGTTTGGTGAAGGGAAAATGTCAGATGATCATTTTATTATATATAGAAATATCCCAAATGATGCATCACGGTCATCAGTATCACATTTCATCCTGTTTTTCTAGCATCAAAGAAAAATTAGCCCTTGAACGAACACCGATGTGATAAGAACTACCTAAAATGACAGAAACAAGAATTTGAGAACAATTTATTTGACGTATACTTTGAATTTTTTGTTTGGCTCATATCCCATCCAATAACGCAAATGAGGTGTGAGTTATGATCTTTCCTGCAATCAGCCACCAGGTGGCTATCAAGACACTTTGGCTTCACTTTCAAGGAGCCGATATGTCATCCATGTTTACACACAGTTTATGATATATACACAAACACCCCCACTTAAAGGAACATGTCACCAGTTTTTATCATCAAGATGATCTATTATAAAGCAACTGTATAATGACCTCCATGGCTCTTGAGGAGATTTGTCATTTTGCCCCAAACAGCACATATGTTAGCTGTCAGCTCACTAGAGAGGGATGCACTGACCATGTGTGTCTTTGTGTGGCAGCTCAGCCTCTGACTGATACCACAAATCCAGTTTTTTTAAAAACAGTTGTAAATTTAACAGGCACGATACACATTAATAAACATGTGCCTGTTAATGTGCAAGAGTTGGTGAAAAGGCAGATTTTCATTTGTTTGTGCTGTTTGGTGAAATGTGTTGACTTGGTCCCTGTGGTAATGAAGGTAGTATGGTTAGTGGGATAATCCTGATCTCATTTGTTTGCGACAATGACTTAACCCCCCCCCCCCGGCTGCTCGGGGTCCTGAACCTGCAGAGGTCATGACCTTTTGAGGTAGCATAGCCCCTTAAAAGGAGGGTTGATATCAAAGGTCATGTGAATGTGACCCACTTAGGTTCCATGTGCTGTATCTGGAGGACACATAAATTCACAGATGCACTCCCACTTACATTTCTTGCAGACACACTCACGTCTCAAAGATTTTATCTGGCCTCTTCAAAGACCACCACATGGAGCATGGCACTGTTGTTTTCATTCAGTGAGCCTTGGAGGCCTTACTGTCGGGTCCTCTGGTTTCTCAATGGCACTGAACAGGATTTAACCCTTACAAGGTCAGGGTGAGGTCAGTAGAATAAAGACAGCTCCAGGATTTACCTTCCTCCTGTATCATCCAGTCCCTGCGTCCACATGCTGAAAGCAACAGATTGGTTTTAAAGCTTTTCTCAAGGCTTCAAGGCCTGGTTTCTGGTCAGAGGTGAATAAGGGAGGCTGTTTTTTTTTTGTAGAAATGGCGTCTGACGCAGAAGTGAAGAAAGTAAGGGTCTGTTACAAGCAGTGACGTATTTTTAGTTTTTTTTGTGAGTTCATGGATGACATTCGTGAATAAGTGAATTGTCTCAACATCCATCTATCCATTATTGGATATTGCAGGACACCAGTTTATCGCAATGCAGACAAATAGAAAATAACCATCCACAATCTTAAACTGCATGTCATTGGTCTGTGGGAGGAAACCCATATAGACATAGGGAGAACATGTAAACTCCACACACAGAGGACCTGGCTGACTGTCAGGCCGCAATCCTCTTGCTGCAACTACTGGATGGATTATGATTAAATATATTACCATAATCTGGTCACAATTTAATACCTCTTACATCTAAAAAAAAAAATTTATTTCCATCATCCTCTGAGAAACTTGTAATTTAAAGGACAGTAAAAAGTCTAATTATTCAGACATGGTTATTTCGAGGGCTCTGGCCTTGAAGTCAAACCAGATAAATATCATAAATTAACTTATTTTGTTGTGTCACATATTTGTAGTAGTTCATTAACAAGTAAAACCAAATTCAGACAATGTGTAATTCATTTTAAATGAGCAAATTTCCTCTGTGTTGTGCTGGTAGTGCATTTTATTTCAGTGGGTTTTCAAAAAGTTTCTACACATCATGTTATTATACAGCAGGAAACATAGTTAAGAGTTAATAAACTGGGTTTTCTT